CTGAACCTACTGTTGAAAACATTACCATCTCTGGATTTCCTCAGCTGGATAATTCTTCTGTGAAAACTGAAGGAATCTCACAATCAAGCACAAGCTTACAGTGGCCACTAAATCCATCAAGTTCCAACCAGCCTGCTCTGTCAGTGCCCAGTCCATGGCATGACGGCTTATGTGGAGGTTCTCCGGGCACTGCTGTGTCAGCAGGCAACTTGGTTAGCTTCTTTACTCTTCGATCTGTCATTTTGATTGCATTAGTAGTGTTTGTTTTTGTTACCTCTTTATAGACATTATTATAGTGGTATTTCTCTTGAGCATGGAATGTGTGGTAGTCCTGCCCACCTTAGTTTGCTTGAATATCCACAGGCAAGACCTGCGCTGATAAGTTAAAAATGTTGCTGCTTATTTCCGAGATAATAGCATGACAAGATCAGAAAAGACTAACTCCTGCTCATGTCTGTGAACAGACGTGGAATGCCTTTGATGACTCTATTAAGGGAAATCCTCCTTTACACAGTGCAAACAAGGTTGGTGAAGCAGCAAATGAAGCAAGTAATTCATCGTCTAAAGTTGATCAACAACATTTGAATCTACAAGTTGTAGAGGTTGTTGCATTTTCTTTATTATACAAACCTTTGATATTCTAGACAATGTTTTCGATTTATTTCTCTTTACAATACTATGTTCCAGGATTCTAGCAATGATGGAACACAGACAGCCAACATCCATAATGACCCTTCGGGTTTTGGCTTTCCAGGGAACATTGTTCCGGCACCATTTTACCCTCCGTCTTTAGAGCCAATGATGGTTTGCATTTGATTTTTCTTCCCCACCCTTCTTTAATCGTGTGAATCAGTGACTTATCTCTTACATTTCAGGAAGAAGCGTGGCATCATGTGAATGATCACAAGTCAACTAATCCATTTGATCTTCCTTGTGATTCTGAATTGGAGCCCAACAATATGGTATGTAGAGCTCTGTTCTTGTACGCTATACATTCAAAACAGATTTCTATTGTTCCATCATTTGTAGATTGTTTCCTGAGATATATGTTATTTGAAGAATGATATCTCATACATCTTGCTGCTAGGAATGCTTCTTACGAATAAGGAAGCAAATGACTTTTTTTTTTTTCTGTAGCTTAGAGTTAAGTAAGCATATATGAAGAGTGTGTATATAATTAATGTTTCATTTTACGAACCGCAAATAAAAATTTTGATATATGTTTACACCGGCATGTATTTAGGATTCTATCAACATTTTAAAAATCTATTCTTGATTGCCTGTCCTTTATATGTAATGCCAGTTCTTGGATATGTGCTTCTTGCAAGCGGCATTGCCAAGTATCAAGCCACAATTCACTGCTGATTTCGAAGTCTTGTATGTACATCCTCCAGTGGATTCGCAAGGTAACATTTCCAATGCCCCCAAGAGCTTCCCATTAATGCACCCGGTTCAAGAAAACCAACATTTTTTCAGTGTTGCATCAAATCTATGCATAAACAAGATCTTGTGTTCCAACCCTTTCAAAATTTTCGGTATTCACACGAAGGGGTTAGTCCCAAAAGACAAGGAAAAAAGAGATGTTTCCTTCTGGGGCAGCGCACATAAATCAATTATTTTAATAATGACCGAAAAATGGGGAGAAAATGGTATTTGTGATTGGTCGGGTCGTCTTACTAATGGCACCCGCATAGGCTATATATCTGTCTTTCCTTTGTAGGTTCTTATTTATGTTGTTGGAATACGGGTGTAGGTGGCTTGGCATACATGGCAGGGCAAGCATCAACATCTCAGTTACAGTAAGTTCACAATTCCATGCTCTTTCAGATGTAATGCAGTTATGGTTTTGTCTTTCAAGGTTCTTCCAGTGATAACATTTATAAATTCCGAGGAACAGATGAATTATGTCAAAAGCTTTGAAGAAAACCCTTCTTTAGGCTGTATTATGTAGCAACACCATTTGTGTCTCTGCAGTACACATTGGGTATTCGCCGTTCCCTAGACCCTGAACCATGAATCCTCGACCTGTATAACTATCCAAGAAGTCTTTGCTGTAGTCTAAAGTTATGTTAGAGAGAGATTCGCAATACCATTTTCCTCGCTCGATCAATCCGAGACTGTATTTACAAATCATACTGTCATTTCTTGTTTCGTCTTTTCATACTTGATAAGCATCTTTTCTTGTCTATTGAATCGGGGTATAATTTAGCATTTATTCTTCTCGAACCGGGCTAACTTTCAATGTCACGTATCGTGCAGGAATGAGCAGAAGAGAAGAAGAGCGAAACGAGAAGATTATTCGAGGTCTTATGAAGCTTCCCCCGAATCGGCGTTGTATAAACTGCAATAGCTTGGTAAAATTGCTCCCTTCTTTAACGTAGTTTGCCAGTTTATGTGATTCTTAATTTGAATTAGCTTTGATTTCTTGTGAGTTTCCTCGGCTGTACTTTCTCGGCCTAGGAAAACCTCTCGGGTAATCACTAGACGTTCCCGCAAGCATAGGTCGATTATTTACGCATTCGTTTCGAGAAACAGAAACCGCCATTCTTGTGAATAAAGCATAGTATTTTGTATGGGTCTGAAAAGAGCATTGGCCTTGCACTTGCACTTGCACTTTCTTCTTGTTAAATTTGTTCAAAACCAACATCACCTGTTTGGTTATTCACTTGGTTAGAAACAGTGAATGTGATTGCATTTGCATTTACACTGTGTGTTTGCGAATGAGAGTTCTGAGTGTTCATATTTTTTTGGATGATGTTTATGATAATTGCTTAGATGACGTTTATGAGTTTTCTCTGCAAGGGATTCGCTTGGTAAAGTTACACCGGTTCACTCCAGAGATACAGAGCATTCGGTTCGGTTACTCATAAACCGAAATTCGAACCAAATGACACTTAATCGAACCCAATCTTAAAAACCGAATGGCTATAACACAACGATCAAACGGGTTCGAGACACTCAAAGAACGATGGCACTAAAAGACCTTTCGTCACTTACTCGCGTTCCATTTGGCCAAAATATCTCCCCGAGATCGTGGCGAGGATATTCGCCATGACAACTTCCTCGTCGACCTCCGATTTCCCCGCACGAGTACCCGCACACTTCCTCAGAAGACCCCTGAGACACCCGCAAGTATCGCCATCCAACGGAGTATCGACTGCTGCAGATAACGCGAATATCCAGAGGCAGTCGCTCCTCTGTAACCCGTCTCCCGCCTCAACCATGGATATACGCTTCCTCAGCGTCGATACCCGGGTCACGGAATCCATCCCTTGTATGTCTGAAAGCATCGGATATTCCCCGAAACCGCTACAAGTTGCAGTTTTCGGTTTCGGGTTTCTATCAAACAGAAGAATTCCTTCCTTCCCGCTAGGGAATTCTTTCGTTTCTTCCTCCGTTTCCACAGAGCTGAGACCATTGAATTCCTTCATGATACGATGATCTTCCTCAAAATTAAGCACGAAACCAGATTCATCCGAGCTGTCCATACTCGATGCATCAAGTTGCGACAAAGCCTGTGTAAAACCGAGGACTGTTACACCATTTAAGGGACAAGATCCAAACTGTTCCAGCTTTTGACATAAAACATGAGTTATGAGAGAGAATGTACCAGCCGAAGGTCCGAGAAGTCGGAAAGAAATGCGTCCTCCCATTCTTTCGTCGGCAAAAGATGGTCCAGACATTTGGCAATCTCGGGAAGCTGAGGCATGTAAATAGTTTGTTCCTTCGAAGCATTCTTGCTCGTATCTCTCTTGGCTATTTTAACCTTCGGAATCTGCTGAGCTTCCCACCTGAATTACACTGAAAAAAATAAACATTTTTCGCACGCAAATAAAATGGATGAACCATTACTTGAAGCTCGTCCAAATTCCCGAGCAAGGGAGGCAAATAGCAATACCTGACTCGTCTTAAATATTCAAACCCATCTTCGGGTGGCCCAGAATCGAAATCAGGCTCTCCTTCCACTGCAAACGCAGGCTTCAGAATGCTATTGTAATCTTCATCGCTATCATCATCTTCAGTGCAGTATTCTTCTTCCATTACAAGTCCTTCGCCGGTTATTTCCTCCAGATCATTGTTCTCTGAATAAAACCTCACAACTTAGTCTAATGAAATTAAAAAAAAAAACAAGAAAAAAAGGGCAATGGAAAGATCGAGACAACATGAAATCAAGTTGCATGGCAATAAAAGAGAGTTAACCCCATTCACAAACTCGAAATTGTAATATTTTGATTCAAAATGTATGGACTGACTGTACAATCTCAACAAAAGAATTTCTAAGTGCAGCATTTACACGACAAAGAATTTTATAGTGGCACCCATAGACGTAAAAACCATGAGCGTAAATGCATATGATGAACACTGGACTTTCACAAATTCCCTCGGCTCACAGCTCAATGCACAAAGATATTCAAATGGTTTCGTCTCGGTACAGCAGCTATGGGACCTGTAGAAAACATCAGAAGGCCCCTATCAAATGGTATGGACACACTACGAACATCGTGCAAAAGAAAAATACAACCTTTTTAGGAGCTTTCTGCAAAGATTTTCCGACATCAAAGGCGTGGCAAAGAAGAATACCGGAAACTAATGTGAAGGATAGACAGACTTTGACACCGGTATGCCTCAAGAGGAAACATGAACCGATTGGAAAAGAAAACAAAGAACTGAACAGAAAACTCTGCAGAACATTGGAGATATGGACAAACTGATAAATATCAAAAACAGCTAATCATACTTTCCTTATACCTAATGTTCTGAATGCCTTTGGCCACAAATACTAAAAAACTATCATTTTTCCAACAAGTGAAAGCCAAAATGAAACAACAGCAAGGCCTTACCGAGAATGCTCATATCGCGATTCCTTGGAAATGGCCGTGCACGATCTCGATTCGGTTTTGAATTCTTCTGATTCTTGAAACTAGCCAAACTTTCATACTCGGTCACCACCTCAGGAGCAAGGCCAGTGTATATGTCACTCCACAGCTTCCTCTGATCCGCAATCTTGGCAAACCTCATTGCCTCCAATTGTTTCCTAGAGTACATCATCTTCGACGGGTTCCTATTCTTTTCAACAATATCACAAATTTCAGAAACTTGGGCCGATTTCTTAGCAGCATTTCCCTTTCCCTTTCCTTTGCCTCTTGTTCCCTTCCCCTGTTTCCGGTTTACTGTTATCTCTTCGGTGTTCTTAGTATCAGCTCGTGAAGCTTCCAATCTCTTAGAATGATCACTTCCTCTCTTGTAGATGGGAACCACATCAACCATCGCAGTATCATCGATAACTTCAACCTTCAATGATCTTCCGTCAGAAGAAGGATCGTTTAGAACCATTTTTTCAACAGTCTCTTGTACCTCTTGACAATCATCCCCACTCTTGAAGAAACTTGAGTCGCTAGTAACTGTCTCCGCATTTGCCTTCGGTCCGAAAATCGTTCCTACTTCGATTTCGGCCAACAATCTTTTCTTCTCAGCCTCTAAAAGTCTCTGGACCTCCGTTTCTTTGCCCTTCTCATCAAGATTCGAACTTTCTTCTTCACGATTGTGACCATCAAATGCAACATCTACCCCATTGATGAGCCCAGTCTTGTCATAAAAATTCTCGTTTTCTACAGAAAACCCAGAAGACGGTTTAGATATAGAAATGAGTGGAGCATCCGTTTCCTTCGTCTTTCGCACGTCAACACCAGAATTCTCCGATTCAAGAACTTCAGAGCCCACCATTTCAGGTACAGAAACATTTACAGAACAAGCTTCCACCATTGTTGCCTCTTCCGTCGCAGAAATCTCAGTTTCAGTGAGAAACTCTGAACCCTTTCCGGAGGAAGAAACATCTCGAGTGTCGGCGGAATAAATCGTTTCTCGATCTTTCTCAGGAGAGGGAGCCAAAAAAGAAAAGTTTACTTCTTTCCCGAGACCCTTCTCCAGTATCGATTCTTCATTTGAAGGCGCAAAAGGAACGATCCTCGATGATTCTTCTGCAGATTCTTCCGGAGACCCCATTAATTCTTCTGGGATATCAAGTTCCTGCCTCACGCATAGAGTGGAATCGGTACTCGAATTCATTTGAGAGAGAGAAGAACCCTTGTGAGAAGAATGAAAGAGAGCGCAAAACCCTGGAAGAGAAACACGGAGCGAGCGAACGAAACAAAAAAAAAACAATTAGAAACCTTAAACCGGTGAACTTAACCAGGAAATTTTCTGGATACGTCAGCCGGGTTAACTGTACCGGAATAAGTTCGGTTTGTTCTCTGAACTAAAGGCTCAATCTGGCTTTGAGATTCTTCGGCTCAGTAAATCTCTAATGAATGAAAGTGGGAATCTGAAGAAAAAAACTATTTTTACCCCACGGTGATTACGATCAACAGGAGATTCCCTTTTGAAATTAGAGTTATAAATTATGAATATGATAATGCATCGCGTGAAAAATAGATTTCCAACTTACTTTCAAGACTACCCATTAATTATATATATATTCCCAAACAAGGAAAAAAGGAAGAAAAATCATAGCTTGATTCAAAATGTGAAAGGCATTCATAGTTACTGTCTTTACCAAAAGCTCATTGCAGTTCTCGAAATCAGCCTTCAAAAATGTCAATAGGGATTTTGACATTTCCAAACCAAATAATATAACCAAACAGAATTTGATTTAAATTGCGAACCGAACAAAACCAAATATTCCTATATAATGGCATCAAGTAAACCAAATTAAAAAAAAAAAAAACAAACCGAATTGAATCAAACATAAAAACTAAACATATATGACTTTTCCAAAACCGAAAAAATAGAAACCCGGAAAATAACCAAACCAAACCTTAACCGATCGCCTATATAAACATGATATACTTTTCAAGATTCTAAACATCTTTGAAACATTAATCAGTATAACATCACACCATTAGTGCAATGGGGGTCAGTTCTTCTGTGTGTCACATTCTACGGCTCCATATAAAAAGCTGCGTATCAAGAAGAAACATCAATACCTTCTCCAAACAATACGAACTATCATTCACTTGTTCCATTACCAAACCTTTAATCAGAACATCATCAGGTTAGTTGCCGTCCCCACAACAAACGGCTCCATGAATAATCTCGTCAAGAAGTAGAAAACGACACCTAATGCGATGGATATGGGAAGGGCCGGAAGAGCTCGGTTGTACACAGACAGCAGGATGAGAGTGCATCCAAGGCCCGAAATAATCGCAAGGTAACAGGCATATACCGTCATCAGATCGTACATTGCAGCCCGGCCAACTAGAACACTGTAGAAAATAAAGTCTCCGAGACCGAGTTTGATGCCTCTGTTCGAAATCTCGACCATATCAGAAGCATCCCTTCCTCTCGATTCTTCCCCATCTCCCCAACCCATCAGCTCAACCAGCGGCGACATTTCTTCATCTACAGTTGAACTTTCACGGGTTTCTCTATTTCCTCTGATTTCAGTTGCAGTTGAGTGCTCGGAAGACGCACCAGATGTCGAGTATCTATCCCTTGGATTACCAACCAGAGGAGAATTCTCAACCTCGTCTCTGTTGCCATTACCATCTGTATTATCTACATCTCTCGCCACAAGGGCATTATACTCCACACGATGAGAGCTTTCGTTTCTGCTACTATCTGGACTTTGATTCGATACTGCTTGCATCTCTACCGATCTAGAATCTGAAGCCCCACCGACCAAAAGCCTTAAGCTTGAACCACGATTTCTTCTGTCATTACTAGAAACTGTCGGTCTAGCTTCATAGACCATGGCGGGAAGTTCCTCGTCACGGCTAGAAGCCAACTCCACCAATAGCTTAAGCGGTCCACCAGGAGCCAGAACAGCCACCAAATCATACAGAGCCAAAGCCATCAATATAACCCACGTTGTCCATTCGGGCAACTTAGTGAACCAAGCAGCTACAACAATCCCCATTATAACCATGTAACACTGCCTCAGAACGATAGGAATTCCACCCGAAAACACAGACAAAGTCCCCAGAACGGTGAAGTTGAAAAGCAATATCAAGCATGTAATGTAATCAACGGGAATGGAGAAATGCTGGATGATCGACAAGAAAATCGCGCCACCCATCGTACCTGAGACAGAAACCCGAATCCAGCTCACAATCAACACAAATGTGCAGCGATCATACAGATCACCAACGGCTAATAAAAAACCCTAACAGAAACCCGCGAGAAAGGGACACCATTACCGAGGACGAAGAAGGCGGAGAAGCGCATGTAATGCTTGAGGAAGTTGGTGAAGTTGTAGTAGTAGAGGAGAACGAGGACGAAGGTGACGACGGCGACGAGGACGACGAATACGACGGCGTTGGCGATGCTGCCTTCGAGCTTCACGGCGGCGGAATCCGAGGGGTTCTCGAGGTAAACGAGGTTCGCGGCGGTACGGATCTGCGAATCTGAGGTGACGGAGAGAGAGTAAGTGAGGAGGACAACGAGGAACATGCAAATGGAGACTGGAGCCATGACGCCGATGATCTCCACGCCTAGGGATTCGAGAATGCTAGATTCCATTGTTAGGGTTTTTTAGTGTGGCTTTTCGGGATTCTGGGAGAAATTTTTGGCTATGGCATTCTTCTCTGGGTTTCGGAGGAAGAAGATGAAGATGAAAGAGAGGGTCAGTCTCTCTGACTCGTTCTCTCTTGAGCTTTCCTTTGTTATTCCGTCTCTTGAATTTTTTATTTCTTGGAAATTTTGTGGGATTATTAGTTTTTTCGCTAAAAAAAGTTAATTTTAAAATATTTAATTAAAATAATAATTAGTTATAAATCTGATTAAATATTCATAAAAGATATCACATTTTTTTAATTTATTTAAAACTATCTTATAGAAAAACTTAAACTCCTACTTTAAACTAATTAAAAAATTTCTAAACTATTATACTTACGTTCAAAAACATTATACTTCGAATTCGTAAAAGATTCTAAACTATTACATTTACGCAACTTCAATCTATTACAATTATATTAAAAACAAATCTTGCATTATAAATTATTTATTAGGGAAAATCTTTCAAACATCAAAGAACTTTTTTAACCTTTTGTTAAAAAAAAACACTTAACTTTACTATTTTGATTTAAAAAAAAAACTAAACTTTATTTTTTGTCAAATAAACATAAATTTTCTGAATGAATGTAAAAAAATACTGAAATTTTTAAATGATTCAAAAAATATATAAACTTTTGTGCGATTATCAAAAAACACTGACTTTTTTAATGATCCAAAAAAATATCTGATTTTTTTATTGTAAAAAAACTAAATAAAATAATCTGCTGTGTTTGTATATCATTGGTCATGTCATTCATTTTATTTATTTAGACAATTGTAGAAAAGTTAAGTATTTATTTTATTAAATTTAAAAAGTTTAATGTTTATTTGATAAAATAAAAAGTTCAGTATTTTTTGTCAAAATTATAAAATTCAGTGTTTTTTTTTTTATTTTTCTTATTTATTTATTATAATTTTACATTTCCGAATTCAAACTATTACACTTGTATTAAAAAAAATTATAAACTATTGGGTTGACATCTTCGTTTTAGTTTAAAAAAAAGGATAATTATTATTATAGTCTGAATCAATTTATATTACTAAAGATATATTTTAAAAATGATTAATTTTCTAGTCTAATTAATCGTATAATGGCTTCATATGATAACCGATTGATACATTATTTTTTTTAAACCGAACCGAATCATTATCCAATCGAATCGGATCCAAATACCGAAACGTCCACGTCTAGCAGCGACATGTCGTTGTAAAATAACCCAATTTGAATGGTTGATCAATAGACATAACTATTCCATAAAAAAAATCTCATGTAAGCTACCGACATGATTGTGTGCATGGTAAATGGTAATGTTATCTAGGCTATTTTAAACTGTTCTTTGTAAAGATTCGTTTACCTTTTTTTTATTCATTATTAGAACAAAATAGAAAAAGCCATATTTGTTTTCACAAAAAAAAGGACCAGTTATCATATAAAAATAGAAAAATCAATATATATATATATATATGTGTGTGCGCACGAAACTTTTAGATAAATTAGATCATCTGCATTGGGCAATGGTTTCCAGCTAAGCCAAGATCAAACCTCACCTACCCTTCTTTAACCAAAATTAATTAATGGAAAAACTCAATTTCATCCCCTCTATTTTCAGATTTCTGTGTTTTTAAACCCCTAGGGCTAGGAATGCATTAAATTAGATTTTCACATAAATTTGTTAATGCTTCTTCCAAATCATTTTACATCATTGTTTTTTTTGACTGTCGTGGTGAAAAATATGGGATTTTTTTACTTTCAAATATGTAATATAACTAGATTTGCATACTCTCAATTTATTTTAAATTTGATAGAGGTTAATGCTTCTATATTTTTAAATATTTAATATAACTATATTTGCATAATCTCATTTTTTTAATAATTATTTGCATTTGAAAATATTAGACCATTTAAAGCATTCTTTCAGAAGAAAAATCATCAAAAGAAATTCACAAAAGAATCGAATAACTTATAAATATAAAATAGGAAAATAGATATTTTGCCAAAAAAAAAAGAAAAGAAAAAATGGATGCTGATGAATAATAATAAATATAGCCAAAATTATTATCCTCTGGTTGTTCCGCAGGAACCCTGGGAAGCCCGGTTCAAAGGCACGACTTCCTATTCCCACGCGACACTTTCGTACACCCGAAGAGAAGACGACCGGAAAAAAAAAATAATCTTGGAATGAAAAAATCCTGCAAAAATTTACACGAAAATGCCCGTTGACCCGATCGAATTCGCTACTTTTCTCGCCTGGGTTATTCACGGTATGACTCGGAACTTGTTCTTCGTGCTCTGTTTGAGCCCAGCAATCTCACCTTTCCAGCAATTTTTTTTTTTTTCATTTGGGAATCGCTGTTTCGCCATTAGGGTTCGAATTCGATTTTCTATGGCTATTTTTCTTGACGTTTTGCTTCTGGGTTTGGCGATTTTCTTCCGCATTTTGGTTCTGTCCAGCTGAATCCCGGTTTCTTTTCGTTCTTTACGTGTTTATAGGTGCTGAAAATGCGGGTTGACCGATGACTGTTCCTAGATCGATACGTACGATTTCAGAGTTCATCGCATTTGGCGTTGAGATTGTTCCCGTGGACTCTGTACTGTGTAGTTTCCGGTCATTTTGAGGGCATTGCTGCCTTTTCTTCCTCAGATTCAGCCATTTGTGTTAGGAATGATCTTCCTGGGTAGCTGCTGGTGTTGATTCTCTTTGAGATTGATGCTGCAATGGTTGAGAAGAATGCTTCTAATGTTGGGTATGTAGCCCGGAATTTGTTGCTCTGCCTGTTTCTGGTCACATCCATCCTCTTCGTGCTTTCTTGGTTCTTTGTCTTGCATTCCACCGGCCACAACCGCTTCCTCGACTACGCTTTGCTTCACAAGTCGATTCTTTCCACCGCGGATGATGTAAATTCCGGAGTTTCAACCCGAGATAACGTGGAGCATTACAACGGTGATCGGCCCGACAATGTGGACGGTGAGATGGATGGGCGAGAGAGAGGTGATTGTAGGTGCGAGAAGAAGGAAAAGGCACCGGCTTCTCTTAAGGTTTACATGTACGACATGGACCCGGAGTTTCATTTTGGACTGCTAGACTGGAAACCCGAAGGGAATAGCAAGAGGGTATGGCCTGATATCCAAAAGTATATACCGCCTTATCCCGGGGGATTGAACTTGCAACACAGCATTGAGTATTGGCTAACGTTAGATCTCCTCGCATCAGAATATCCGGACGCTCCAAAGGCTAAGGCTGCAGTACGGGTTCATAACTCTAGCGAAGCAGATGTCGTCTTTGTGCCGTTCTTTTCCTCTTTGAGCTATAACCGATTCTCAAAGGTGAATCCTCACCAAAAAACCAGCCGAAACAAAGAGTTACAGGAAAAGCTGGTTAAGCTTCTGACCGGCCGAGAAGAGTGGAAGAGATCAGGTGGTAGAGACCATGTTGTTCTTGCTCATCATCCAAACAGCATGCTTGATGCCAGAAACAAGCTGTTTCCGGCAATGTTTATACTCTCGGACTTCGGGAGGTACCCTCCTACTGTGGCAAACCTTGAGAAAGATGTTATCGCCCCTTATAAGCATGTCATCAAATCATATGAAAACGATATGTCTGATTTCGATAGCCGGCTGATTTTGCTCTACTTTCAAGGTGCCATCTACCGAAAAGATGTAAGCTTTACTTCTTCCACTCACATTTGCTTCTGCTCTGTTGCTTTGTGGGAGAGGAGATTAGTTTTTTCTTCTTCAATCCAGTTGCTGAATCTAAAGCTACTCTCTTTTTGGATATGAATATTCATGTATTGTGTTTCCTAGTGAATGCTTTGATTTGCTCCTAACCCTTTTTCCCGATTTCCGGTTTTCTTTGTGCTAAATTCTCAACAAAATTTGTGCGGTGTCTAAATCTCAGGGCGGGTTTGTCCGTCAGGAACTGTTCTACCTTCTACGAGACGAAAAGGACGTTCATTTCTCGTTCGGGAGCGTGAAAAACGACGGCGTAAACAAAGCCACTCAGGGAATGCACAATTCCAAGTTCTGCCTCAACATTGCCGGAGACACACCTTCCTCAAACCGCCTATTCGATGCAATCGCTAGCCACTGTGTCCCCGTCATCATCAGCGACGACATCGAGCTTCCCTTCGAAGACGTCATCGACTACTCCGAATTCTCGGTTTTCGTCCGTGCCTCGGATGCACTGAAAGAGAATTTCCTCATTAACTTGATAAGGGGAATAAGCAAGGACGAGTGGACACGGATGTGGAAGAGACTAAAGGAAGTCGAGAAGTTCTACGAGTTCAATTTCCCGTCAAAGGAAGGCGACGCCGTTCAAATGATATGGCAAGCCGTTGCACGCAAAGTTCCGACCGTCAAAACGAGGGTTCACAAATCTCGGAGGTATTCTCGGACTGTTACCGGGCCGGAGAAAGAGTTGAGTTCTTTACCGATACCCAGAAATTTCTGGTGAACAGAAAACCGGGTTTTCTTCATAGTTCTGGTCACGAAAGCGATGAAGATTTTCGCGTAAAGAAGCCTTATTTTTCGATTTCGAAAGCATTGTCGGTAGATTTTTCTGATTCACGATAGGCAGCAGTCACTGATCAGGCTCCAGTTCGAGCCCTGCTTTTTGATCGTTTATAACCAGAAACGGAATATACCAATGCGTATCATTTTTTGGTTCGGTCCAAGAGTTTGTTCATATACAATTTGAAGGTATCCTTCGCCATTACCAAAAATACCTTTGTTTTAATACATGTATTTCAAATCATACACTTCTATATCATTTTTCGTGTGTGTGATCGGTGTGACTATAGCGACTTATTTTGAGATCACACCATTAAACATTAACATTACATGATTATCACACTCGTTATACCGTTAACCAAGGTTACACTAATCACAACAAAATAAATTAAAAAAAAAAGTATACTCTTAAATTCATAAAGCAAAATAAAGATAGTTTTGATATTATGCCTCTTCATATGGATATATTTTTATTTGTAACAATTATAATATAAATTCCAAATGAAAACATTTTTTAAGTTACAGAAGCTGTAGAGATTTTATTCAAAACAAAATTGTAAAAAAGACAGAACACTTGAATAGGCTTCAGAAAACTTTTAAAAAGGAGTGACCTCGTTACCAAGAACACTCCTGAAAGGGCGCCCCGAGAACAGAAGAACACCTCTTGAATCGTACAATGCAACCAAAGAACTTTACCAAGAAATCGAATCTTGATTTTTATTACATACACGTTTGATTTTTTTTTTGTCCAAAGATTCACATTGGTGGCTTTCTTTTTACTTTGGACTTAGACTGGTGTGATTTCCCCGGCTTGCCCGGTTTCTTCGGTCCTGTTTTCCGCTTCGGATGCGGCCTTGGCCTCGGGCCTGGTTTGGACCTTGGCCTCGGCCTCGGGATCGGACCAGGGACAGGAGCTGGTCGCGGGCTCGGGGCTGGGCTCGGGGCCGGTTTAGGACTTGGGCTTGGCGTTGGGGCTGGACCTGGTCTGGGGCTTGGGCTTGGGCTTGAGGCAGGCCCATTGAAAACCCTACAATTCTTTCTGATCTCCCCGGCATTACCAAGAAGAACTTCTATACTTCCCATTTTCACCATAGCCTCGGCAAATCTTTTCTTGAACGCTTCATTGTTCGAAGCAAAACCCGAGACGATCCCACGAGTCGATCCATCCGAAGCTAACTCTTGATCGAGTTGCAATATGCCTCTCTTGGCTTGAATCTGAACGTAAAACTGATTATCGAACGCAAACGAAGTGTTCTGATCCAAGAACGCTGTAGGATCATTTGTTTTCGAGCAAATGCTACTAAGATTCGAAACCAATGCCGGATCCATCGACGGGTCGGGTTTTCCTGTCCCTTGGAAATCCGAAAGCCTGTCCGAAAATAAGCTACAATGTGCAATGCCAACGGTATGAGCTCCTAATAGCGTTGTCATATCATTCAGGTCAAGATTCTTGGATTTGAACGACTGCAGTGCCATGGAAACCGAAAACGTCGGTCCGGGAAGGTTAACGTCGTTGGATTTCGAGACGAGGCCATCTCGTCTTCCTGTGGGGACGGGGTAAGACGGGCCGCCGGCAAGGGCCACTGCATCACGCGTGGCGAGCGTGATGATGTCGGCGCATGAAACGGTCGATGGACATTGAGCTTCTAGAAGATTCTTGGCCTCGTCGATGAGTTCGAATCCTCGTACACTTTGGTTTGGTCCGGCTGTTTTCTCCGACGGCTTGGATTTCGTTGAATCTATCAGTATTGAGGCGTCACAACCCTGAATTTCATATATGCATTCATTTGTTTTAAATTAGTAACAGTTTTGTTTAATTCAATTATAAAAAAAAAACTATATTTTTATGAATTTGTAACGAATTTGGCTGTAAAGTTAGAATCATATATGGATTAAACTAGTACGTATAGTAGGTATACATAGCATGTCAATTTTCATAAAGGGTCCATTATATATATATATATATATATATATTAAATGTGCAATATTTACGTGTGTATATGCATACATATTATATCATGATGCCTATTATTTTAAAAGTTTTATTGATATTATTCTCATAAATAAAGGGGGTGTCGCGTAAACTCAAGCCGATTTCAATGAGAACTCAACCAATACATAGAATAGCCAAATCATATTTATTATAGTTGGGTCTAATTTGGTTAAATAAAAATTTTCATTGAGCTTAGACCGAATCATATACAATATGAAATAAAACCGATTTCAAAGAATTCTTAGGAAACTGAATAAAAGTATATCCGAAATCTAACATTTAGACAAAAATAGACGAAAGAAATCAATAATCTTACCCTAACGAAACAATCGTGAAAATGCATGCGTAGCAAAGCGGCCGGGATCGATTTATCGGTCGCGAATCGCTTCTCGACAACTTGGCGTACGATTTTTTCGGCATTTGGGCACGCCGAGTCGTAGAAACCGGTCCTAAGATCGGCCGAGACAACTTGGAAAACGAAGATTAAGAGAATGGCTATGAACTTCGTAGATTTCATGGCTTATTCGCTTTTGGGTGTGATAAAAAAAGCCAAGGCTGGATCAGAGAGTATATATAGGACGAGGTATATATGGACCGACCACGATTAAATAATTGCGCACGAAGAATGTAGGAATGATGGATGGGTTGGTTTGCATGTGGAGAAATTGCATATGCAGGAAGAAAACTATAAAATAATCTTTTTTTAAAAAAAGATAAAACTATAGAATATATACATACGATAACGAAAATGGCTTGAACTATTACAGTTATTGTGATGTTTTGAATTGGCGAATGTTAGAGGTTTTGATAATCGGATTCGATTTATATGAACCGATATAACAATACGTCCGATATTTTTGGTTAACGGAACTTTTTTCTATTTATACACAATGAAATTAAAATGGTCTGTAACCTTTAATGATAGTAAGTCAACAGTTAGTGATCTAGTAGTTGAGAGGTGACAAAGACATCCTCAAGTATTTGGGTTCGATTTTATTGGTGTGGATGAATGTAATTTCTAGACAAAAATGGTCCATGTACAAAGGCTGGTCATGAGTCTAGAGTGGATGTAGTCGGATCAAAGATCTGGAACCATCGTGGTTATAAAAAAAATAGTATATATAACTCTTCGTGTAAGGTAGTTATACGGGTGATTTTATATAGAATAGGTCATATAAACTTTCATGAAAAGACACATAATTCTCATTAGAATCATTTAAATTTTACATTTTGATGCTTACAAATACGATTAAATCTATAAAACTATTTTTTTCTTGGACTTCCAATATTTATTACAAGGTCTTTTCAATTAAATTTTTTTCTTCTGAAAAAATAGATTGTTTTGAGGCAACAGGCCCAAAAAAGAGAGAGCAGAAGTTGGGGAAACTCGACAAATGACTAGAAAATAAAATGATTGTCTCGTATCGACAAACTTTAGTTTATACAATCCTACTAAGACGTACGACTTCTATATAGATACAAATGTCACGGGATTCAAATTGTTGAAAATGCATAATAATTTCACTTTGTTTGCTAGTAAGATGGCAAATTTGAATAACTTATAGATTTACACGAATAATGTTATGAACGAATTGCGAGGGGACAAAACGAATCATTCCCGTGTTATCTATGGCGAATAATGCGAAGAGGATAGCAAAAATATAATTAGGTTTATTTTGACATGCAACTAATTAATGAGAATACAAGAAATTAATAAAATTATATGTGGTTAGTTTAATGATTAGACTCGCACCAGGAAAATGGGCCAACCCACTAATCCTAGTAATAATTTAAACAATTATGGATATAATGCATGAATGATTGCATGCAGTTTGGGTCGTATGCGACGTGTAATGCACGCACTTAGGGTGTATATATATATAACTTGCCTGCATATTTAATATTGTGAATTTGATTATTTAATATTGGATTAGTTAAATAGGATACGGATTTTACCTAATCAAGCATTTAAATCCAAAAAAGCACCTCTTCTAAACCTTTTTTTGCTTCTTTTTTTTTTGAAGTGCTTCGACAAGGAAGCAAAGGACTTCTTGTTTTCAATTATCTCCACAATTTTGTGGTGTATTAATTAATTGCCCATCTCCAACCGTTAGGAAAACGAAAAATATTCATCACCGTTATTGAACAAAATAACAACTATTATTTTATATATGGTAATAAAAAAACCAAATCAAAATAAAATAAATAATATCTAATCGAACTTTTTCTTTTGTTAACCAATTAGAATCGAACTGATTAGAAATCATTTTTAATTAAATTGATTGAAACAGAACCGATTTAAAAAAATATTTGAAAATTTTGAAAGAAAATATTTTCAAATTAGCATAATTAAAAAAAGTCGAACCAAGTATGACATAAAAATTAAATAGATATAATTTTTTTCAAAACAGAAAATTTTAAATTAGAAATAAAATATTTTCTCTTAAGAGCGCATAATTCAAGAAGAGCTCTATTTTTTTCACCAATTCACGTAGAAATAAAGTAGTTTTAATTATTATTTTTTTAAATCTAGTTTAGAGAAAGAGAGGATTAATTCTATTGACAATTTCGGAAAATAAATGCCAGTTGATCAATTTATTCAACATGTTTGAAAATTTTGCATGGCATAGATGGAGACAAGACAAGCAAACCCATAATAAACTATGCTCCTAATGCGCCGAATGAATCGACATGTCCGCTAAATTTAATAATTAATTTCGTAGTAAATGCATGAATGCAAACAATTTTTGGTAAATCTTTTAAAAAGCAAAGATTTGCTATATAATTAAATCGATAAAATTTATTTGCATGATTATCCACATGCATTTATATAAACTGAGTTGGATTAAGATATTTTCTTGTTGGCAAATCTTTCCAAGTAGGTGCGAAACATCGGAAACTACGGCATTACAAATGGCAAAGAGATGCATGAATGCATGAATGAACTTTAATTTGGTCCATAATTATTTCTTTTTTGGAAAAAAAAAGAATATTAGCCAAGTTATATGATATATAAGTGTATCCAGAACAAATCTGATGGAAAAAATATTTTAAATATAATTTTTTTTAAGATTAAATTAAATATACTTAAATAAAAAAAATAAAACCAAAAAATAATGTAAAAACTTAGAACTAAAAAATAATGGGACTTAATTCCTGAAGAAAGATTTCACAGAGAAAAAAATTGTGGCATATGATATTATTTGAATTGATTGAGAAGATTGGGGTTGAGATTTGTTATAATAACAATTGTGGCAATTCTCTTCCCCCCTCTTTTTAATCATTGACTAAGAGGTCAACTTCCAAAATATTGTAATATTACATTAAACGGCATGAATAATATCTCCCTATAGACAATAAGAATATTTTAATTTACATATTTATTGCATAATACAATCATTTGTTTCAATTTATCCATAGAACAGTCTCATTTTTATTTGGTTAGATTAAAAATCCTATACGATTGAAAAAAAAAATTCACTTTCAGTATTTACGATGGAGTCCCAAACTTTCACGATGATGTCACAAGTTTAATAGTATAAAATATCCTTAATAAACAGCCCATAAAAATAATTATAAATGGGTTTCACTAGTTTTATATAAATCAATAAAATGACATCATTATCAACAATAATAATACCTTGAACTTCGAATTCTAATTTTAATACCCAAATTTTTATATATTATGCGTTTTAATATCCAGCTTTGTAAAATTACCATAACTACGTTCGCTTTCTTCGATTAATATTAATGAACAAAAAGAAGCCAAGACAACTTTATTTTGATCATTTTATAAACGAAAAAAATGAAAATGATATGCTAAAAGTTTTTGTACTAAAGCGAATATTTAAAAATTTGGGTACTAATTTGAGCATATATATATATATATATATATATATATATATATAATTGAATAGATTTTCTTTTTTTGCAGTTTTTACATTTAACGACCCATATGTATTTCATTTACGTGACTATTTAATTACAGAACCGATTTATATATATTTTTAACATTTGTGCAAAAACACAATACATCATACCAAAATAGTAGCGATATTAACCGGCGGTTCATATAATTCATGTTGACATTGAGATACACATTTTGAGATATATATATATATATATATAAATATATATATATATATATATATATATATATATATTACAATTGTTACGTTATTATTTCTCCCATATTAATTCAACCATTTACAAAAAAAAAAAAGGGAAACTCAATGGTATCAAAGCTTTTGTATTTATTAAAACCTTTCGCCGAGGATTTAGGGATTGTGTGTTGGAAATTAACCGAGACAACCCTAGCTCGAATATATGGGCTAAAGCCCATATATATTGAAGAATCATAATGCTTTTGATTGGCCGTTTATATAGAATAATCGTAAGTTTTTTTTAAATAACGTGATCTTTTTTTTATTATCTCTTTTATTTCTTTTTCATTGGAAATATTTACTATTTTTACAAGCTGTGTATATTGTACATTTTACAAAGAAAAAAAAGAATATTGGTTGTGTTTATAAAATCTTTGTGGTTAGGCTGTGATTTTTAGAGTAAATGAATGAGAATTTAGAATCTCTCAAAAGGATTTATGTTTTACGTGTATTACGAGTATGGTTGAGGAGTTAAATGTTTGTAAAAGACGTGTCATGAATTGGCTAAGTTGTTAAGGATTTGTCGGAAGAGTTTACGTTCGGTTTTGAACGTGAAGAGTGATCTCAGAAAAAATGGAAGGGCAGCTCGAAAACATGGGAGAGTAGCTTGTTTTTTCTGAGGAATAAAGCCCAAAAATAAATGGGTGATAGCTCGAAAAAACGGGAGGGCAGCCCGTTTTTTCTGAGCAGTTCGGAACAAACGGGCGGGTAGCTCGGAAAAACGGACGGGTAGCCCGTTTTTTCTGAGCAGTTCGGAAATAACGAAAAATCGCGACCGTTCGGGAAAACTTCCGATTTCTTCACACCTTTCGACATTTGGAGTGTTTATAAACACCCCTAGACATCCTAACACGATATAGAACAGATCTAATTATTTTTTGAGAGATTTGAGAGCACTTTTGTGGTTGTTCTTGCAAAACACTCACAAAAGTCTTTTGTTCATCTTCTTCTTGCGATTTCTTGTGTTTGTGTTCTTAGTAGAGCAAACTAAGATCACTTCTCTCGTCATTGTATCTCAAAAACGTATTCCGGGAAGTCCTTTGCTCATATAGGACGGAATAACGTTTTTAGGAAAGTGTATCACGCCTTGAATATATCCGGTTCCCGATTTACTTTTCTTGTTCATTTTATATCTCAGATTTCTAACATTTATCCGATCTATAATTTTTTTTATTGGAACATTCTTAACGATTTTCTAATATTGCTTTTAAAATATATTCAAACAAAATTTCGAATTATTAGAGTTAAATACTTTATAAATTACTAGGTAAATCTTGAGTCCTTTACGAACCAAAATCCAACTTTTTTTTATAACAAGGAAGTTTTTCGGCCCATTTAATCTCCTAGGATCTTTAGTCACGCAATTAATTGCATCTTTTTTTCTCTACCAGTAGAATCGAATACATAACCTCGAAATGAGTTTGACATCTCTCAACCATTATATTACCAACTAATAGGTCAAAACTCAATCCTTTGCACGCACATCTAAAGATAAGAGTTAGTAAAATTTTAGATCCAATTTATTGTTTAGAATTTGAGAATTTTTAAAATTTGAATTTCTTCTCTTAATTTAATTAGCATCTAACCAGTTTTTTTTATCAAATGCAATTTATAAAATAGTTTTTTCTTTTATCTAACCAACCATCTCTCTTGCTCGTGAAGGAAATGCTCATGAAAAATAGCCCAAAGTGACATTTTTTTTCCAACTCAAAAGGTGGAAGCTGAATTGGCTTTCGCCAAAAAGGTCTCTTGAGAAAGCAAAGTACAGAAAATAAACAAAAGAAAAGCCAATTCAGACAATGAAAAAGGAAAAGGACTAAAAAAAAAAACTTTTTTTTTAACTTTTAATTTTCTTAATATATTATACATTTTATACGTGTGGTTTTTCTTTTCATATTTACCCCGCCACGGCATGAAAGTCAAAACGGAAAAATATTTTGATATAACTAAAAAAAAAAAAATGGATAAAAATATAATAATATCAATTTCACATTAAATTGTCCATAATTTCTGCTGGTGTTTATGCGGCCAGCCACTGACGCTAACAAAGCCACCATGAAGCGTTTCATCTCCATGGCTGAGACAGCTTTTCTCCTTCTAACAGAACATGATTTTGAATCACCAGACATGAATTTCAGACACGAATTCTTCTTGTTGCTTCTCAGAAGATGGAAGCATATATATATGCTTCCGTGTCTCGGGATCGGTCATTTTGGTATCAAATGTGTGAATTTCAGAGGCTTTTTTAAGGCTCGAGTCCTCTGAATCCTCCGACTTTTGATGGGCAAGCCACTTGGTCAGGTATAATCCCGAACGTTGCCCATACCGGATAGCTTGAAGCTGAATCTGTTTGATCGAGTTTCGATGTCTTTGGAACCAAAACGTACTTCCCCACCCGCGTTTCCTCGACGCCGGTTTCGTCTCTCGAATGCTTACCCAGAGTCGGAGGAGATTCACGGCTTTCCAAAATGCAATCTTTATTCGTTGAGGGTAATGAACAATTACCATTTGGAGCAAAGGATGGATCTTGCAAGACAGGTCTGCAAGCTAAGTAAGGAGATGGGATGAACTGTAATGGGATGTTCGGAGGGAAACCCGCTTCGGGAATAGCTAGAATCGGAGCGGGACAAAGCTGAAAATGGCTCGTATTTCCGCCATTTGCAGTCACGGAAGAAAACCCGCTCCAACATGGGTTCAAAGGAAATCTCCATGAAGGAACATGGTAAAAGGGGAGTGAACTTGGCAAAGGAGCTTGCTCTTTCGCCCTCTCGTCGAGTGTTACATCATTGCTGCAACTATTTGATGAAGTTTCCAAAGCAGAAGACCGAGAAGTAGAGAGCTCGGATTCACGTTTTCCAACACTTGAAGCGACATTCCTCTGATCTCCAAGCTGCGGCGGCATGGTATCCATGGATCGACTGAGCGGTGGTTCATCAGAGCCAAACTCAAGAACCGTTCCATTTCCCGAAGGAGAATCAATCATCTGGGTACTGACCGAGTAGTCTGCAGCATCCATCTTGCTAACGGGATTTCCATCCGAAGATACGAGAAGCTGGCGGTACTGAGACGCAAAATGCTTGTTCTTCCGGCGTCCGGCACCTACGGGAACGTTTCTCATGGTTCCACCAGCAGTCCAATATCTCTGGCAGTTCTTGCAGAAGTGCCTCGGTTGATTGACGTTGTAGTTGTTGAAGTAACAGAATTTCGTGTCTAAGCTGTTGCATCTCGGACACTGAAGGATCTTGTCTGGTTTCTTGAAAGCTTTGTCTTCTTCTGTTCCATCAACGCCGCTCTGTTCCTCTTTAGACTCACAATTCACAATCACGCCGTTTGGGTTTCCAGAAATGTTGTCTCCCTCTTTGGCATCTCTTTCCTGAATTCCAAGGAGACAATAAGCATACATATATATATATATATATATATATACGTGCATACATAAGAAATACGTATATCTACGTACAGAGATATCAAATAACCCGTTTGATATTCTCAGTAATCTCCAAAAAAAAAAAAAAAAATTGGCCCGCCTCTCAATAGAATTCCATCAAAAATTTGGAAACTGGACCACATAACATGAACCAGACAAAATACTAATTCTGGTAAAGAAAACATTGTCGCTGAAGTCTTGGGGCAAAAGCTTTTTCACTTCGAACTCTAATGCGACATCGTTTCTAAACCCCAAGAACACGAACACGAAAGAAGCCTCCTTGACATCAAGACAGCATTTTCCCGAGAAACAATCGGAAAATGCGAGAGATTCAGTCGTCAATACCGTACGAACTTCGCAACCAAGCATTCACCTTTTACGCACCAAGCGAAAATCCACTTCGCAAAATCGCGTATACGTACACAACATACACGCAAACGCACGTATACGCAAGAATTTTTTGCGTATGAAAATAGTATTAGACGAAAATGCGGACATACAGAGAATATGGGTTTGGTCGGAATCTGAGAACCCGGCAACCGGATCTTTCTTCCGAACAGCTTGATGGCGGGATCCCTGGGCTTAGGAAGATCACAGCCGTCCATTTCTCTCTCTGAAATTTCCCTGTAAGGGCAGTTGGGAGGAAGATGATCTTCTTTCGGGCCACTTGTCGAAGAAGAAGGACGAAGGAAGGCATAAAAAGAGCCCGAAATGCGAGATCTTTCCACCGGAAAAAGGAAAAGGAGAAAGAAAAAGGAAAAACAAAAGAAAATTTTCCTCTTCAACGCCAAAAAGCAAAAAACTTCTCAAAGCAATCAAAAGGAGGGAAAAGGGGAGAAAATTTTTGACATTCTTTTCCTCACTAAAACCCACAAAAAAAAACTCAGAAAGAAAGAGGCTTTGATTTGATGGAAAAAAGAAGAAAGAGAGAGAAAAACAATGAAATTAAAAGGCATAAAGAACGTGAAGGATCAAAAGTACAGCTTTTTCTCTCTTTTTTTTCTTGGGGAATATTACAGTATACTTTCGACATTGCATTAACGGTGCACTTTTTAAAGTCCGGGTCTTTTTCTTCTTAATATTTTTATTTATTGGATAGGGGTTTCATTTTTTTATTTATTTTACCACATGTATAAGAATTAAGAAAGGGTATCTGGCCGAGGAATACACCGTTTCATATTATAAATATACGATAAAATATAATATTTATATTATTTTATTCAATATATTATTGTAATTTTATTTATTTGATCACGATACTTAATTTTTTTATTAAATTATAATAAGATTTAATTTGATTTATAAAATAAATTTAAAGTCGCTTAATTATAACAGTTATATTGTTTGTTATCCATCTATTACGGCAAGTTAGCAACGTTTATTCCGATCTGTAAACATATATATATATATATATATATATATATATATATATATATATACACACATAGTATTTTATA